GTCGCCGCCTCCCACCCTCTCGGCACCCGGGTTTATCAGCCCCTACCCTGCCCTAGGTACCCGGTTCACCGGGCCGCGCCCGACCCGGCCTATGTCCTCCGATTGGCTGCTGTAGGTGCCTGTCATCCTCGCCCTCTGCAGATTGGCCGGGGTCAGTGGAAAGAGGCGGGCCTCGGGGAGCGTAGGAAGGGCGGGGACCCGGATGTGTGTGTTGGCGGCGGCCGAAGAGCTAGAGTGCGGAGCTGAGAGGCCTATGGATGAGGAGGACGCGGCGGCCCCGGTAGGCGGGGATCGGGGGCGGGGTCCCGGAGGCCTCGGGTCGGTCTCCACGGAGCCTGAGGCGGGAGGCGGGGGTCCTGGGCGGAGGCTTCGGAGTCAGGGGCGGGGCCTTGCGCTCTGGTCACTGGCTTCCTCCCTGGGGACCCTTCTCGGCCCAGTGCTGGGCCTGGGGAGACTGGGCGTAGTCACACTGCCGAGCCAGGGCCCTTTTCCCCGGTCTCGTCTGAGTGGTCGGGCTGTGCCCAGGGTGGAGGCGGGGCTCGGTGCGGCCGCCACTCGCCGGTGCCAAAGCTGTGGGCTTCTAGGCAAGCAGATGCCCCTCGGTCTGGGGCGTCAGCCTCCACCTGGGGTCTAGCTCTGGCCGAGTGCCCAGGAGGCCAGTCCTAGGGCTGCCCCGCAGGTGCCTATCTTTCTGGGCCACGTGGTGGCTTGTAGCAACTGCAGAAGGGTGTAATATGCGCGTTGGGATTGAATGTGGCCCAGCCAAGGCTTCCTAAGCACCTACTGTGTGCAAGGCACTGTCAGGCCTTGATGGAACCCTTTTGGGGGATGGGAAGAGAAAAGTCACTTTTGGTTCCCAGGAAAAATTCATTCATTCATTAATTCATATGTTAGCACTGTTAGTGTATTAAACACCTGGGTCATCCTACTCCTCTCCATCTTCACTGCTACCATCTTGGGGGATGCCATCTCTCATTGGAGCAGCTACAGCAACCTCCTAACTAACTGTTCACCACTTCTGTTCTTGATCTTCTTATGATTATTTAGTTTCCAACCAGCCGCCTAAATGATCTTTATGATCTGATAAACCTTAAAATCATATCATTTCTTCAGACCCTCCAGAGGTTTCCCATCACACTTGGAATAAAATTCAAACTCCTTAACATGGTCTGTAGGGCGTCAGTCTGACCCCTACCTTCCTCCCATCTTCTCCTTGTACCTTCGCCCTCCCTCACACTGCCTACACTCCAGCCACCTGGCCTTTCTGTTTTCCTACCTTGCCAGCTGCCTTGCTTCTCAGGACCTGTGTCTTGGCTATCCCCTCTGCCTGGGATGCTCTTTCTTGGGCTTGACACATGCCTGGCTCCTTTTCTTTTCAACTCAGATGTCACCTCCTCAGAGAGGGCGTCTCTGTGCTCTCTGTCCAAGGTACTCTTGAGACAGAGTTTACACCATTATTTATCACATTACTCTGCTCTTGCCTTCTCTAACCCTGTCATGTCTGTTTATTGTTTGTTAGGCCTCCCACACTAGGATGGAAGCTTCCCTCTTGTTCACAGCTGTATCCCTAGCACCTAGAACAGTAGAAGCACATAGTAGGAGCTCAGTAAATGTTTGCTGAATGAAAAGATGAGGATGGGGACTGTTGAGGTCAACCTGGGCCACTGGCTTCAAGTCTAGTGTCCTCTCCGCATTCTGGGTGGAGCAGGCCGAGGTGCTTTGCTCAGGGCCCTGCTACCTCCTCCTCAATCCCCATCTTCCCCTGGCAGGTTTGTTCTCATGAACAAGATGGATGACCTCAACCTGCACTACCGGTTTCTGAATTGGCGCCGGCGGATCCGGGAGATCCGAGAGGTCCGGGCTTTCCGATATCAGGAGAGGTTCAAGCACATTCTTGTGGATGGAGACACTCTGAGGTGAGTTTCAGGAAGTGCGTCCACATTTTCCTTTCTGTGCTAGATCTTTGAGATGAAAAGGGGCTCTTTCAGAGGCAGAGGACTGTACTAGGAGTGGGGTGCCTTGGACCCTGGAGGCTTTCTGAATGGAGCAGTGCTTGCTGCTGTACCTGCCTCGCTGCTGTCTGGGTCCCTCTGTCCTGGTCCACACTGAAAGCAGTCATATCAGGGACTGTAGGCTACTGGTCTCAGGAGTTGCCCAAGTGCCTTCTTGAGAGGACTGTAGTGAGCCTGGGCAATGCCTGGCTCTCCCGCCTGTGTCTGTGGGGTCGGGCTGGTGAAGAGTGGCCATGTCAGAGGCAGTGGATTTCCTGTTTTGGGAAGGACAGTCCTGTAGCACATCCTGCTTACCACCTTCCAACACCCTGGTTTGTGCTTGTGTTTGTTTTCTCTCCGTTTTCTGGCTTGAATGCCTTCCCTGATTCCTTCAGAGCCTCATTCTCTCACAAAAGTTGTCACCATAGGGAGGAAGCAAGTAGTGCTATTTAGCCTGGAGACTAGAAGGCTGAGGAGGGGACACTGGATAACTGTCTTCCAGTCTAGGAGGGGCTTTGGTACAGAGGATAGAGACTAGCCGTTCTCCAGCTCCCTGAAGACAGAGCCAGAGGAAAAGGGCCGAAGCTGCAGCATGAGGGATTGAGGTTAGACAGGGTTGTGAGACCCTAACAGGCAACTGAGGGAGACTCCATATTCTCTTCCCTACTGGCAATGAAGAAGCCAGGCTTGTGTTGGTCTGTGTGGGTTGGACCCTGGCTGGAGGCAGCTGGAAGAGTGGGCGACCTCAAGTATCTTCTTGTGGTGGTTGCGCAGATGTCCTGAAATGTGATGGATTCTCCTCTGTGCTGGGCCTCTTGGGATGGGGGTTGGGGTTGCTGAGGCCCTTCCCTCAACTCCTGAGCTAGGCTGCTAGTGGAACTCCCCCTTCCTTCCTCCTCTAGTTACCATGGAAACTCTGGTGAAGTTGGCTGCTACGTGGCTTCTCGACCTCTGACCAAGGACAGCAATTATTTTGAGGTGATCAAGGCAATGGGTGGGCAGAGCAGGGGGTGAGTTGGTTAAGCCCCAAGGAGCTCTTTTACTAGATTCTTGATCTAGGCCTTCAAATTTTCCATCCCATACTGTTGGTTGGGAAAAGGACATAGGATAGCATGGTGCCTAATCTGACAGGGACCCTGGGGTCCTATCACCCTGTCCCTTCTGCTTTCCTGCCCTTCATCTAGGTAGACTTTGACCCATGTCCTTTCCCACCCCCTAACCCAAGCCTGGCGTCTACTCCATCTCCTATCTTTTTCCATAGCTTGGAAATTATTTTCTAAGTATCGTGGTAATGCGGGCCCCCACCCTCCCTGGTTCTCCCTCAGTGCCCTTTTTCTCTGATTCCCCCGTCTTTTGTCTTTTTGAGCCTCAGCCCTTTTTGATGTCTAACTCCCATCCTTGCTAACTGTGCCCTGCTCTCCTCCCTCCAGGTGTCTATTGTGGACAGCGGGGTCCGGGGCACCATTGCTGTGGGACTGGTCCCTCAGTACTACAGCTTGGATCACCAGCCTGGCTGGCTGCCCGACTCTGTAGCTTACCATGCTGACGATGGCAAGTGAGTTGCCTCTTGTGGAACCTGACCCTTTTCCTATGGATTTGGGGATCTTAGATGTAATGGACTACCTCAGGGTGGCTTTGGCCATTCCTTCATCTGTCTCGGGGTGTTTTCATAGACATTTCTGACCAGGACAGGAAGGTGGCCTGATGGCTACCCTTGGAGGTTTGCAGATATAGAGGGGAGGATGGAGCGGGGACATAGGTAGATGCCATTGCAGAGTGACTGGGAGCAGTGAGACAAGGCCCCAGCTGTTGGCACTGGGGAGAATTTGGGAGGCCAGGCTCGGGTTCTGTGTCAGTGCTGCTCTGTCCACAGGCTGTACAATGGCCGAGCCAAGGGCCGCCAGTTTGGATCAAAGTGCAACTCTGGGGACCGGATTGGTTGTGGCATTGAGCCAGTGTCCTTTGATGTGCAGACTGCCCAGATCTTCTTCACCAAAAATGGGAAGCGGGTGAGTGGAACATTCTGAGTGGGATTTAAGTGGCTTGTAGCTGTCCAGGGGTTTGTGTGAGTGATAAGAAAGAGTCTGTAGGCTGGGGCTTGCCCAGGGCCCTGGAGGCTTGTTTCCCATCTTCTTCAGTCCAGCCTCAGGGTCTCCTGAGGTCTCCTGCCTGTAGGAGAAGACATTTCCCCTACCTGGGGGAAGCTGGGACACTCATCAGGTCATAGATGCAGAGGACCAAGCAGTACAGTAGAGGATGAGCAGAAATTATGGGCAAAATTGAGTGATTTGGGGAAAGGTTTTGAGCAGAAAAAAAGGGGGGTAGATTATGGCCTGACTGCACATGCCGGAGGTCCCCTTTGGGTTTTTGACCTAAATGCTTTTGAGGACATGTCCTTTCTGTGCTTTGTGTTCCTCGTTTCACTTCTCCTTTCCTTCCCTCTTCAGAGAGAGGCCAGTAATGGTGAAGGGCTGGGAGAAGAGCAAGTAGGAGAGACCCCAGCTCTCCCTCTTCCCCCACCCAGCTCCATCTCCCACCCTGGGAAAGTTGCCTTCTCAGGCCTTGACCAAGAGGTCCCCTTCCCTTAGCATCTGTGCCTCAGCACTTTCCTGCTCCGGGACACACTCACACATATCACAAGCACTTGGCAACATGACAGGAGACTCGTGCTAGCTGAGCAAGGTACCCCCCGAGCTAGAAGGCAAGGACTACTTGGCGGCTTTTTAAACTTTTCTGCACCTCTGTTTTGCTGTCTGTCAGCGTGTGTGATAATGATTGGTTGCATCATCTCAAAGTTCCCCTTGTGAGAATTAGATGAGCTGTGGAGAAGTGAGCCAGGAGACGACTCTCTCCCTCCCCATGCTGCAGGTGGGCTCCACCATTATGCCCATGTCCCCAGACGGGCTGTTCCCAGCCGTGGGCATGCACTCCCTGGGGGAGGAGGTGCGGCTGCACCTCAACGCCGAGCTGGGCCGCGAGGACGACAGCGTCATGATGGTGGACAGTTACGAGGACGAGTGGGGCCGGCTGCACGACGTCCGGGTCTGCGGAACTGTAAGTAAGGGGCGGGGGGTGGTAGGGGGCGGGCAGGGAGGCCTGGGCGGAACACCCAAGGACCACATCAGCAGGTCAGGGTTGTTTAGAATGGGGAGTGAGGACAGTGTCTTTTGTAGGGTTTTGGGAAGCGGGAATTTTGGCAGGAGAGC